AGATTCTCTACTTTACATGGATGTTGACCTTCCAGATAAATTTAAACAAACAAAAAGCAGATGGGTTCAGTCAGGTGAATTCATAGGTATGTCAGAGAAGGTAATAGATTTAACACGGATAGAAATTCCACTGTAGACTTAGATATATGACTTGACACTTATTCTAAAATAGATATATCTTCGTACCATCCTGGCTACTAAGTGCAGGAATTTTATTTTGTATAATGGTATCAGTGCATTGTCCTGATAGTAGAATTCACCTTTGCTTCATTGTACACTTTGTAAAGTTTAATTTTTTTTGTGAGAAATTTGAATCATCTATAAAGTCTGAAAAACGTATTCCTCATATTCTCTTTACCAAGTTGGATAATCTGTATCACCTCTTAGTCATTAGCAAGTCACTCATTTCATGTCACAGTTGTTTAAGTACAGTCATGGTCTATCCAATGTTGTAATAAACCTTTGTTTGTCATGTGCAGTTGTTTTTCCTGCGGTCTGTCTTTCACTTGCCATATGTGTCTGAGGAACAGTTTTGTGTATGCTTCTTTATAAGGATAAAACCTTCTGCATAGTTGATTAGCAAGTGGACAGGATTTCTTTGTGAACCAAGCTTATAGGCACTAAACTTGTTACTTGTGGCACCACAGCTCGCATCTGCTGTGACACACCATTGCATTAGCATATGCAGTTATTCTTATAAAGGGTGATTAACTCTCACTAAATATATGTGTGTTCTGGGATATCTTTTTGTAACCTTTGGTGATTGATATATTGCTTTTTTAACATGTATGCATTAACTTATTACAGTTTAATCTTAATATCTCAAGAATGATTTAATGTTCTTGCATCTACATATGTGCAATAGTACAAGTTATCTTGTGTGGAAAGTATATTTTCCTAAGACATCTCAGTACAGTGAAGGGTCTCTGTCAATCAAGTTTGATAAAATGATAAGAATCTTTGTGTTACAAATTTCAAGCCTTTTCTAAGACATGTATTGGTGAATCTGTTACATCCATAGTGTAATTGTTAACCAAAACAGTTGGAAGTAAAGCATTTGAAAGTACAAATAAATGTTTCAAATCACAGTATAGGAAAGAGAAATATATATGTTCAAGTTTCAGACAAACAATCTACAACTGGTTCCAGAATGTTGACTATTTATTGTTGGTTCTCTGATAGCAATTTTAACCAGTCCTTTGCATTTTCAGAACTTTTCATGTTGCTCCTAAATTTTTTTATTATTATGAATGACACATTTACCCCTTTGTTTTAAAGCAAATATATATAAAATAAATCTCTGTATTATTCTTTAACTTGGCATTTATTTAAGTAAGTATGATTAAATAATCTATTTCTAAGTTAAGAGTATTGAAAAGGTTCTTTGAGAAAGTATCAGTAAAACTTCTTTGTCTCTGTGTTAAGGTGTGGTAACTCAGGTTCTCTTTGATCAGAAATGTGTGAAACATGGTAACGTCTGTCAAAAATAATTCTTTGAGCATGTATTAATGAATTAATTTAATCTCTTGTGTTACGGTTAACTCATCTTCCATTGTGAAAGTATGAAGAAAACATATTTGTGTTTTACATAATTGAGTATATTTTCCAGTCAATATGAATGAAAAATGATCATCTGTATGTTACAGGGTAACTCAGGCTCTCCTCAAGCAAGTATGAGTAATAATATTGATTGCTCAAGCATGCTCTTCATATCCCAAAGGCCAGTACAAATTTCCCACCGAACTGTTCAAACAGATTTGACTAACAATAAAATAAAGGAGGTGGAGAGTAAATCTGCAATGGACTTAGAAATCAGAGACAATAGAATAGAAGAATTACAGAGGGTAGTAAAATTATCTTTGTTTTACTTTTATAAATTCTTTTTAGAAAAAAATCCAACAAATAAATACCTATATATATATATATATATATATACTACTTTTTTTAATTTAGGATATTTTGTCAAGTACATATACTAGTATATCA